TTTTCTATATTTTTATATCTGAAAATTTGAATTTCCCGCTTTTTTTTAACCGAAAATTTGAATTTTTGTGCATTTTGTCGTCAAATTCGATGTTTTATGACTGAAACACCATATTTGACGACAGAATGCACAGAAAATCAAAATTTCGCTTTAAACCTCAATTTTTGTCACAAACTTTGAATTTCCCGCCTTTTTTAACTCAAAAATTTGAATTTTTGTGCATTTTGTCGTCAAATTCGATGTTTTATGACTGAAACACCAAAATTGGCGACAGAATGCACAGAAATTTGATTTTTGAACTAAAAATGGCTGAAATTCGAAATTTCCTGCTTTTTAAACCCAAAAATTTGAATTTCTGTGCATTTTGGCGTCAAATTCGACGTTTTACCGCTGAAACACTGAATTCGACGACAAAATGCACAGAATGGCTGAAAATTTGAATTTCTCGCGATTTTTTTCACCCAAAAATATGAATTTCTGTGCAATTTGTCTTCAAATTCGTTGTCCTGCCTCAAAACATCATATTCGACGAGCAAATGCACAGAAATTTGAATTTTCGTCAAAAAGCTCGATTCTAGGCACAAAAAAATGTGTGAAATTCGAATTCCCAGCTCATTTTCAGCCAAAATTTTTCTAATTTTCTGAAAAATCGATATATTTGTTTGCAGATGTCCCTTCTATCACTATTCATCAATGCTGGGTTGAGCGCGGTCGGTGCCGTCATATGTTATAGGCTCATTTTGGATTATATTCCGATTTTTATCGCGCGAAAAATGTATGGAAACGATCAGTGTAAGGTGAGTCGTTGTTTTTTGGCCTAAATGGCCAATTTTGGACCCCTGAAAGTCAAAATTTCGAGAAAAATGGTTAATTTCACCTCCTGAAAGTCAAAATTTCGGCTTAAAACTCTCAAAATCGAGTTTCCCATGATTTTCTACCCCTGAAAACTAATTTTCAGCTCTCTAGCTCGAAATGTCGTAAGATTCGGTGTCTGGTCCGCAAACACCAAACGAAGCATCGAATCTTACGACAATTTCAGCTAGAGAGCAGAAAATTGGTTCCTAGGGATAAAAAGTGATGACAAACTCGATTTTCGTGTAGTTTTAAGCCGAAATTTCGAGTTTGAAAGTCTGAAATTTAAGATTTAGAGTCTAAAAACTCAATTCTGAGGTTTGAAACTATCATAATCGAGCTCCCCGTGCCTTTTCACCCCCGGAAACCAATTTTCAGCGTGCTTGCTTGAATTGTCGTAAAATTCGGTGTTTGGTCAGGGTGTTTGCAGACCAGACACCCGATTTCACGACAGTTTGAGCTAGAGGGCTGAAAATTGGTTTCTAGAGGTAAAAAGTGATAGGAAACTCGATTTTTACACTTTCAGGCGGAAATTCTAGGTTTGAAAGTCGGAAAATTCGGAAAATCTTGATTTTGGCAATTAAAACATGAGTTTTGTGATCCGAAACTATCAAAATCGAGTTTTCCATCACTTTTTACGCCCAGAAATCAATTTTCAGCTCGCTAGCTTGAATTGTCGCAATTNCGGTGTCTGGTCCGCAAACACCGGAAGAAACATCGAATTTTACGACACTTCGAGATAACGCGCTGAAAATTGGTTCCCAAGTGTAAAAAGTGATGGGAAACTCGATTTTGACACTTTCAGACGGGAATTCTAAGTTTGAAAGTCGGAAAATTTTAAAAATCTTGATTTTGGCAATTAAAACATGAGTTTTAAGATTTGAAACTATCAAAATCGAGTTTCCCATCGCTTTTTAACTCCGGAAACCAAATTTCAGCCGTCTAGCTCAAAATGTCGTGAAATATGGTGCATTGTCGTGGCGTTTGCAGACCAGACACCACATTTTACGACAGTTTGAGCTAGCGAGCTGAAAAGTGATTACCCGGGGTAAAAAGCGATGGAGAACTCGATTTTGATAGTTTCAAGTTTTGAAACTGAAGATTTAGTTGCCAAAACCTCAAAATCCAGATTTTCAAAGTTTCAAACCCAGAATCTCAGTCTGAAAATTTCAAAATCGAGCTTCCCATCATTTTCTACCCCCCGACACCAGTTTTCAGCTCAATATCTCAAATTATCGTAAAATTCGATGCATTGACTGGTGTTTGCGGACAATGCGCTAGATCTTACGACAATTTGAGCTAGCGAGCTAAAAATTCGCTTCTAGGGGTAAAAAACGATGGGAAACTCGATTTTGATAGTTTTGAAGCGGAATTTTCGAGTTTCAAAGTCTGAAAATGTGCTTTTAAGTCAAATTTCCCGCATTTTTCAGGTCTCCAACGCTCCCGTACCCGAACCAATGGGTGTAATCTGTGCCGCCGTGTATCTCATCGTGATGTTCGTCTTCATCCCCTTCCCGTTCATCGAATGGATCGGAATGGACACTTTCCCATACGCCAAGCTTCTGGCGATTCTCTCGGGCCTCATTTCCATCTCCACTGCCATTCTATTAGGATTCGCCGACGATATGTTGGATTTGCGATGGCGACACAAGCTGCTGTTCCCGACGTTGAGCTCGTTGCCGCTTCTTATGGTTTATTATGTTTCTGGTAGGAAATTGGTTGAACATGAGCTTTGAAAATGGCTGAAAATGAACTGAAAATCATGAAAAATGGATGAAAATGGCTTAAATCGGCCTATTATGGTCCAAAATCGATGAAAAATGGCCTAAATTAGGCTTAAATTGGCCTAGAAACGGCCTAAAACGAGATTTTTCAAAGTGGGCGGAGCCTAGAAGGAGAGGGGGCGGAGCTTAAAACCACCTTCAAAAATAGACCAGAAATCATCGCTCATTTTGAGTCAGTTTTCTAGAATTTGAAGAAAAAAACTAAAAGGGGCGGAGCCAGGTCCCAAGAAGAAAAGTGGGCGTGGCTTACAGGAGAAAAGGGGGCGGAGCTTCGAATTTTTCGATTTTCCGAGGCCTCCAAAAAATTTTCTCTGCGAATTTTCAAGCTTTTAAAGGGGGCGGAGCCTAAAAGGGGGCGTGGCGTAAAATCTTCAAAAATAGTTTAACGGAAAATCTGCGAATTTTCTAGGAGCTAAAAAGTGGGCGGGGTCTAATCTATAAAAAAAAAGGGCGTGGCTTAAAAGGGGCGGAGCTTAATACCTTCTGATATCGGCTTGAAATCCCTTGATTTCGACCCAATTTTTGTCGAGTTTTATGTACGCTAAAAAGTGGGCGGAGCTTAAAGTTTGGAAAAAAGGGGCGGAGCCTAATTTCTGAAAATGGGCGGAGCCTATTTTTTAATGTTCGAAAATCCGCATAATTTTGAACAAATATTTCTCGACTTTTCTAGGCACTGAAAGTGGGCGGAGCCTAATTTTTGAAAATGGGCGTGGCTTATAGGGGAAAAGTGGGCGTGGCGTAAATGGGGGCGGAGCTTAAGCCTGACCTTTCAAAATAGGCTTAAAATCATTCATTTTGAACCTATTTTCAGCGTGCTAAAAGTGGGCGGAGCCTATAAAAAGCAAAACTACAGTAATCCCAAAAATTTGTAGTCTTTGTAGTCTTTGTAGTCTTTGTAGTCAAAATTCAAAATAACTCAAAATCGGTCGATTTTCATCGAATTTTTTTCCAAATTTTTTTGGATGTTTTTTTTTGAAGCTACAGTAACCGAAAAAATTCAAATTTTTCCAGGCAACTCAACTACAGTAATCGTGCCCACCATCGTCCGTCACCTGGTCCAACCGTTCGTCGTGCTCCCCATCACAATCAATATCTCATTTATCTATTATATTTTCATGGGAATGGTCATTGTCTTCTGCACGAATGCCATCAATATTCTTGCAGGTAGGTTACTGTAGTTTGTAGTCTTTGTAGTCTTTGTAGTCCCCAAAAAATCCCCAAAAAATTTGAGCAAAAATGAGCAATCCCAAAGCCAAATAAACCCCGAAAAAACAATTTTTTTTTGAAAATTTTGAATTTTCAAGTTTCCCGCCAAGCCAAATTTTCAAAAAAAAAAAAGAAATTCAAAATTTCCAGGAATCAACGGACTGGAAAGCGGACAATCATTGGTGATATCTGCATCAGTTAGCTTGTTCAATTTGGTTCAGGTTAGTGAAAAAAAATTGGCCTGAAATGGGTCTAAATCGGCCTGAAAAGCCTTAATTTTGGTCTGAAAAAGGCCTGTAAAAGGCCTGAAAACTGCCTAATTTAAGTCTGAATTCGGCCTGGAAAGGGCCTAAAACGGCCTAAAAAGCCTAAAGATGTCTAGAAAAGGCTGTCGAGTTTAGGCCCCTGGCCTGCCTGAAAGTTTACATTTCCTAGTCTAATTTGGGCCTTCTAGGCCTAGTTTGGGCCTAAAACGGTCTGAAAAGCCTAAAACCGGCCCCAAAAAGCCTGAATTTCAGGTCTATCGATTTGGAGCTGATGAAAATGCGGCTGGATTCTGGCATCACATCATTTCCCTCTATTTTCTGCTCCCATTCACCGCCTGCACGGCGGTGCTCTTCTATTTCAATAAGGTACAGTAATCCACAAACTACAAAGACTACAAAAACTACAAACTTTTGGAAAAAAAAATGGCGCGAAATTTGAATATGAACACAAAAAAAATCGCGAAAATTCGATGAAAATTGAGTGATTTAGAGCGATTTAGAATTTAGACTACAAAGACTACAAACTACAAAATACAAGTGTGGCTTGGCGCGAAATTTGAATTTTCGAATTGGAAAAACCATTTTGGCTCTTTTTTGCTCAAAATTGACCGATTTTTAAAATTGTTTTTCCAAACAAAAAAATTGGTTGACTACAAAAACTACAAACTACAAAATGTTGACTACAAAGACTACAAATTTCCTACAGTATCCCTCGCGTGTGTTCGTCGGCGACACGTTCTGCTATTGGTCCGGCATGACACTCGCAGTCGTCTCGATTTTAGGACACTTCAGCAAGACGCTCATGCTCTTTTTCATACCACAGGTAAGGCCACGCCCACTTTTGTCAAGCTCCGCCCCTTTTTCAATAGGCTCCGCCCACTTTTAGGGTCTAGGAAGTTTGGAGAAAATCGATTGAAAATGGATGATTTTAGGCGTATTTTTGAGATTTTTAAAGATATATTAAAACTAGGCTCCGCCCCGTCACGCCCTCTTTGTAGAGTAGGCTCCGCCCCTTTTTAAATAGGCTCCGCCCGCTTTTTAACGGCTAGGCTAGAAAATTTGAAGAAAATCGGTTCAAAATTAAGAATTTGGCCTATTTTCAAAATTTTCAAAGATTCAAAAAATTAGGCTCCGCTTCTTTTATAAGCCACGCCCACTTTTATAGATTAGGCTCCGCCCACTTTCCAACTTCATCAAAAATCCTGTAAAAATTGCAAACTTTTTCATTTCAACCAGGTTACTGTATACTGTAGACTTTCAATTTTGGCAATCTGACTCCGCCCCTTTTTTTTCCCTCTAAGCCACGCCCACTTTAAAGAACTAGAAAAAAGGGAAATTACAGATTTTTCGCAAGGTTTTTAGTTTGTGTATTTTTAAAGTATATTTAGAAGTTAAGCTCCGCCCCTTTTTTTCCCCCTTCTCGTCTAACCCACGCCCCCTATTTTTGCAGACCATCAATTTCTTGTACTCAATTCCGCAACTTTTCCATTTGGTACCATGTCCACGTCACCGGCTGCCCAAATATGACGCGGAAAGTGATACGGTAGGTGGTTTTTGGGATTTTTCAAATTTTCAAAAATTTCCAGGTCAGCATGAGTGTTGCGGAATTCAAAAAATCACAACTCAAAACACTAGGATCGATTTTTATCACGATTTGTCGATCGATTCGAATTTTGTATGTCGAGGAATTCGAGAAGGACGGAGAAATGTAAGCGTGAAGCCTGAAATCGGGCCTCATTTAGGCCTGAAATGGCCTAAAATTGCCTGAAATGGCCTAAGATGGATCTTCAAAAATCGAAAAAAATTGCTGCACAAAAATAATCCTAAAAATCTGAAGCAAAAAAATTTCGGCCTAAAATAGGCCTGAATCGGGCCGCCTATTTTAGGCCTAGAAAAGCCTGAAATAGCATAGACAGCCCAATGAACATTTACAATTTTTCGGCCCGAAAAAGCCTATTTTAGGCCTATTCCAGGACTAAATAGCATCAATTTGGGCCTAGATAAGCTTGAAAAAATAGCTTAAAACAGCTCAGAATCATTTCAAAGAATAGTCCCAAATTTGGCCTATAAAAAGGTCTTTCACAAGCCTAACTAGGCCTGAATTCACATATTGCAGGCCTAATTGGCCTTGATTTAGGCCTAGATAACTCGCTAGAAAACCACGAAAAAATCTGGACTATTTCAAACCTAAATGGGCCTGAAATGCCTGAAACAGGCCTAAATGGGCCTAATACAAGCCTGAAATGAGCCTTCAAATACCTAAAATAGGCAAAAAATTGGGCCAATTATCAAGTCTATAATAATCTCTTGAAAATTAACCTAAAATAGTCTGGGAGCCTGAAAAGGCCTTAGACGAGCCTAAACGGGGCCTGAAATTCACCTTAAAATACTTTGAAAGGCCTAAAAATGGTAGGGCCTTAAATAGCCTAGATTTTGTTCAAATAGGCCTAAACAGACCTCCTGAAATTTGTTCCAGATACATTACAAGCCTAAACCACCTTAATTCCGGACTAGAATAAAGCCTAAAAAAAGTCTAGATTTGGTTCAAATTGGCCTTAAAAGCCTAAAATCGGCCTAGAAAAGCCTAATTTTTTGCAGATACGTGCGTATGAACAATCTAACAATCATCAATTTGGTCCTAAAATTCTTTGGTCCAATGCACGAATCGTCGCTGAATGGATTGCTCATGCTTATTCAGATGCTCTGCTCCTGCCTCGCATTCTTCATTCGCTTCTATTTGGCATCTCTATTCTATGACGTCGTTGAATAATTATCTGATTTTTCTCGAATTTTCAGGCCTAAAATGGCCTAATTTGGGCATCATTTAGGCCTTTTTTTGGGATTTTTAAATTTTTTCGAAAAAAATTTTTTTTTTTTTTATTTTTCGATTTTTTTCAATTTTTAGGCCTAAAATTGCCTTTTTTTTGGATTTTGAAAATTTCCGAAATTTCCAAATATTTGTGATTTTTTTCCTTTTTTTCTCTTGGTTTCCTTATCTCTCTCTCTCAGTTTTCTCTTCGCTTTATTCTTGTCATGATTATAATTGGCTAATTAATTAATTAATTAATTTTTTCCCGTACTTTTCGAATTTTCGCAATTTTCAGAGATTTTTTGTTGCTTTTCTAGAATTTCTGGAATTTTTAAAATACCGGAAATTTTAGATTTTTTTCCAGATTTTTTTTTCAAAATTTCAAAATTTTTTTATTCAGCAAAAAAGGGGGCGGACTTTTTTCCTTTTCCAATTTATTTTCCCGCTTTTTGGTGATCCATATGATCCACAGAAGACATTGCCTGAAAAAAAGTGGGCGTGGCTTCCAAAAAAGGTGGGCGGGGCTTCACTGAAAGGAACAAAAATTTCAACAATTTTTTAACAAAAAAAAAGGGAGAGGCGGAGCTTAAACACGTCACCGGAAATCAACAATTTTTTGCAATCGAGAAAAGAGACATCGCCAAAAACGGATTGCCATCAAAAAAGAAAGGGGGCGGAGCTTCTGGTGAACGTGGGGGCGGGGCTAATTCACCGGAAGAAAAACAATTGAAACATTTAAAAAAAAGGAAAGCAATAAAAAATGTTACAAGCGAGAGTGAATAGAACAGGAGATATATATGAGCAATAATAAAGAAAAAAAGGGGGCGTGGCTTAGGAGAGATAGAGGGAGAAGTGGGCGGAGCTTGGGCGAAAAATGGGCATTTTTGGTTCAAAAAAAGGCTGAAAATTGAAATATTTGGCTAAAAATCGGTTTTCAGCAATCCAAAACCGCTGAAAATTATTAAAACTTCGGCTTAAAAAACCTGAAAATTGCGATTTTTGATCTCAAAAATTTGCAATTTTCAGCAATTAAAAAAACTGCTGAAAATGCACTTTTCCAGCTTAAAATGGCTGAAAATGCGATTTTTGGCCTAAAAAAGGCTGAAAAATAGAAGTTTTGGCTTTAAAAAGGCTGAAAATTGGAATTTTCGGCTTCAAAAACTGAAAAATGGCTTAAAAATCTGAAAACCGAATTTTTGTCTAAAAAATTGAGGAAAAAATTAGGCTCGGCCTCCTCCACAAATTCTTCTTCTCGCAGCAGCGACGAAAAGTGTCCGTAAATGCACATTAAATGACGCCAAATTGCGGACAAAAAGAACGAAGACAAACAAGACAGCGGGGGAAGAGAGAGATAAAGCAAATATAAGAGAGACACAGAGAAACAGAGAAAATGACACAGAATAAGAAGACTGAGATAGCCACGTCATCGACCTTTTTGACGAATTCTGGAGCGGATTTTTGGATTTTTTATGCTGAGCAATCCCCTTAGAGAGCGGGAACCACTCGTTTCTGCAAAAATTAAAAGTTTGAAGAGTTTTTTCTGGCTGAAAATTGGTAAGTCTTTTTTTCTGGAAATTTTGAAATTGGGATTTTTTTGGCTGAAAATGGCTGAAAGTGATATTTCAAAAATCGAATTTTCGACGTAAAACTAGGATTTTCAAGGTTTTTTCCGGGCAAAAAAATGGTTAAAAAATTGGATTTTTTCGGCTGAAAATGACAAGGAAAAATGACTGAAAATAGCAGAAAATTGGCTGAAAATTAGCCAATTTTTTAAACTGAAATTTTAGATGTCTCAAAACTGATGAAATTGGGATTTTTTTGGCTGAAAATGATAAAGAAAAAATATCAATTTCTCGGCTAGAAACAAGCAATTTTTGATTTTCAGCTAGAAAATTCAAAAATAACTGAAATTGAGGATTTTCGAGCTGAAATATTTCATTATTCCGTTTTTATAATTTTTTTTTTCGGCTAGAAATTAGCAATTTTCAGTCATTTCAGCTAGAAAAAAAAATGATAGAAAATTATCTGAAAATGAGCAATTTTAGGACATTTTAGACCGTTTTTTTGCCAATTTCAGACTGATTTTCAGTCATTTTCACACCTTTTTAGTGGCAACTGGTACCTCTCCATCGTTATTATTGGTATCCTTCTGCGCGGCCACTGCTTGAACCGGCACCTTCTGATTTCTCTGATTCTGATCGATATCCTGTCGTGCTGATCGACAATCAGCACATTTCATCCAATCAGTGCTCATCAGTTCCACAGCCGACGGACGTTTTGCCGGCTGAAAATCATTGAAATTAGGTCAGAAATCGTGAAAAACGAGTCAAAATCAATGAAAAATGGTCCAAAAATCATGAAATCATCTCTCAATTAGGCTAATTACCCTCTAATTAAGGGGGTCTCTAGAAAATCCTGAATTTTGACTAAGAATGGTCCCTAAAATCATGTAAAAAATATTGAAAAAATAGTTGAAAATCCGATTTTTCGACTAAAAATTACTCTCTAATTACCTTCTAATTACCTTAATTACTCTATAATCGAAATATAACGGAATTTTGAAAAATTTCTGTCTAAAAATGATAAAAAACATTTGGGGGGTCTTTGGCGTCATTTTTAACCAAAATCATCTAGAAATTTCTCTCTAATTAGAGGGTAATTAGGTTAATTAGGCAGTGATTAGAGTTAATTTTTTGGATCCATTTTTAATGACACTCAGCGATTTTTCAGCAATTTCCGGTCTGTTTTTGCAACCAAAATCCTAGAATTTCTGGGACACTAATTAGAGGGTAATTAGGCTAATTAGGAGGCGAAAAAAAATGTATTTTTGAGCGATTTTTTCTATGACTTTGGGGCCATTTTTCATGATTTTTGGCCCACTTTTGGCACATTTTCATGAATTTCTGGTTGTTTTTTGACATTTTTCACCTCAACAGTGAGCATCCATTTGATCATATTCTGCGTTTCGATGGTGATACGACGCCATTGCGAATGGAATAGGAGACGACCTGAAAATGGCAATTTAAAGCCAAAAATTCGATTTTCGAGGCTTAAAATCGCTGAAAATCCCCCATTTTCAGTCAAAAATCCCGCTTTTTTACCTTTCATAACCTGATCCTCCATGGACATATCCGTGTACTCCTCGCTGAACGGCGGATAGCCGGAGAAAGTGATGAAGAGGACGCAGCCGAGACTCCAGCTGCAAAAAAATAAGCTGGAAATCGGCTGAAAATAGCTTAAAATAGCTAAATTCTGGTCTCTTTTAGGCACTAGAACGTCGAAAATTTGCTTTATGAAAGTCAGTCTAGGATGTCAGAAATGGGGGGCCTAAAACAGTCTAAGTCTAATAATGGTCCGGACGTTTCGAGTCGTTTCAGTATCGACTTGGACAATGGTTTTGCATGGTTTTCAGGTCTAGTTTTAGACATTTTATCTCATTTTAGGCCTAGTTTAGGCCGAATTATACCCATTTTCAGCCTGAAAAAAGCCCCAATTTCTCACTTACATATCCACTTTCGGCGAATACTCGATGCTCTCGTTGGCGACGATTTCTGGAGCATTATAGGACGGCGTTCCGCAGCGAGTCTTCATTTTCATCACCGAGCATTTGGCCATTCCGAAATCGGTTAGCTGAAAGAATATGTTTTTTGGGCTGTTTTAGGCTAGGTTTAGGTCAAAAATCAGTAATTTAAAGCTGAAAAAGACCACTTTAGGCCGAAATTCCGGCTTTGTCAGACCAAAAATTGGCCATTTCCATGTCAATAATGGCCTTTTTCGACACCAAATTTAGGCCTTTTTCAGGCCAAAAACAGGCCGTTCTAGATCGTTTTTAGGCCCCCCTGTTCTATAGGTTTTGTCAATACCAAAATAGGATATTTCTCTTTAGGCCAATTTCTGTCTTTTTTAGATCAAAAATGGCGGTGGGGCTAAAATCAGGTCTTTTTCAGACCTAAATCCTGCTTTTTGAGGCATTTTAGGCCTGAAATAGTTCACTTATGGCGAAAAAGGAGGCTTTTCTAGACCAAAATTAGCCTTTTTAAGATGGAAACTAGGCCATTTTAGACCAAATCTAGGTGTTTTTAGTTCAAAAATAGGTCATTCTAGACCATAATGAGGCCATGTTAAGCCAAAAATCATACTTGTGGAAAAGATGGCCGGCCCGCTTTTTGAAAATTTCGAAATTTTAGAGCGAATCATCATTTTTCACGATGGAATTTCTTCTAAAAAAAAAAATGAAAATCCACACTAGAGGCTGATTCTGTCGGCAAAAAAAAACAATGATTTGAGGTCGTAATCAAAAAAAAGGTTTCATCCTCGGCTTCATGAAATTTGACTTTTTTTGCTGAAAATTCAAGTAAATTGACTTTTTGCGGATTATTTTATTCATTTCACGCTCTCCCACAGAACAATTCCGAACTGCAAATTAATTTTTGATCTACAGAAAAAAAAGTTTGGCGAGATCACAATTGCAGGTCTAAAACCATAATTTCAGAATTTTTTATCAGATTTTGTGGAGTTCCAAGATGATTCAAATGATTCTTAAAAAAATAATTAGTGGTTATTGAATCCTATATGGTCGTTTTCCGGAAGAAAAAATGTCAAAAATGGTCATTTTTGATAGTTTTTTACAGAAAAAATCTATCTCCTCTTTCAGTTTTTGAGATTTCTAGGAGTTCTATAGCTCAAAAAAACCACAATTATTTTCTCAACATTTTCTATGGGCGAATTATGAATTTG